CGGCTCGCCCCAGGCATAGTGCTAACGTAAAATATCCTCAGTGGTAGACGGATCATGGGTTAGGTCCTCAGGTTGACCGTGGGAGTTTACGTGGTTTTCCTCTCCATGTAACGTAAATGCTGATTAGTTGCATCTAAAAGTCTTCCACGAAGGCAATTTTTTTCAAAATACTAAGTCCGGGAGTTCCCTTATCTGCTGAATTGGGATCAAAGTTACAAGGCTACGGAGTTTAACATTAGTCGTAAACCCAAAAGTTTAACAATATGTATCATTAATTTAGTACTATGTATTTTAATGTATATAAAAAAATATTCCTCAACTTCTTAAGTCTCTTGACATAACTTAATACTTTTTGTTACGAAAGTTTTTTTAAAATTTTTATAGGCATGGGGAATTAATTTATAAAATCTCTTTTAAATAGCTCCTTAAGAAAATTTTAATATTAAGTCTATTAGAGATTAAAATTAAAAAACATTAATTACAAAGTGATTTTTTTTTTTTTTTTTTTTTTTTNTTTTTTTTTTTTTTTTTTTTTTTTTTTTTTTTTTTTTTTTTGCCGAGGGATAAGAGTTCCGATTCTTGACAACTTATCAAAAATCCAGTTTAAAGAATCAAAAAATGGTCCCTTTCGTTTAATCAATGTTGTCTTTTTGTATTTAAGTTAATTCTGAGAATGTGTCATTTTTTTAAACAGATGTTAAACACAAAATTTATTTTGTGGTATACATGTATTGTTGAGGAGTTTTGCTTTAAAGACCGAGGATTTACGTCAAAATTCGAGATTTTCAAAAATGACGATCGTCATTGAGGATTTTTGACAAATCAAAGTTTAAATTTGGTCATACCCGAGAGTAAGTACACAGTAAGTAATACACAGTAAAGATAGACCGTACTAGGAAAAATAGCGTTTTTGAAAATTGCTTAAAGGTGCTTATTTTTTATTTCAGTTTTTAAAAACCCTTTTGCATTTTTCATTGGGTGCTTTTAAAAAGTGCAAAATTTCTCCCCTTAAAATAGGTTTTTTGTTCACCCTGTCTATTTTCGCCACGAATTAACTCTAAAAGTGTGATTTTTCACATTGCACCATTCAACACAATCTATTTCGGTGTACCGTCGGTCTGTAGCGTATGAAAGCGCCAATTATTTTAAATGTTTAATGAAATACCCTCGTCTCCGCATATGCGTATTCTGTGTTGCTTTAGGTGGGAAGAATTCTTGCACTCTCATGTGCAACTCTGTTGCATTTTGAAAGCTATTCTGAATTTCAAGCTTCAATTCTCTCTTCTGAAATGGAACGGAAAAATCTCTCGAATTTTTGTTCATCACTGGGACTGCCTAAATATTGCCAATTTTTTTTTTCTTCCCTAGTAGCAAAAGAATATTTTAATTCTCTTTTTAATTTCATCGTTGGTGCAGCGCTATCGTCACTGGCAAGCTTTCTCGCGCTCTTCTACTTATAGATCAAAACCAGAAACCATGAACTTGACTTGAACCTTTCTGTGACTCAGGCATTAAGTGACGATGAACACAGATGAAACTAGTAATTGTCTATTGTATTTATCTAACTTCTTCCGCTTTCTATGAAATATTGACCGGATTTCATTTTCTTTTCCTTTACATTTGTGAAATTAGAGGATATTTTTAATTCCCTGCGTGATTTCACTTCGCCTATGCATCAGTTTTCAAAAATTTACTTCAATCAAAATGTTCCGGAAATATTAAATACTCGAATTAGAATCTCGTATTAACTCGAATTATAACTAATTACGTATTTTCACATGAATCCCCGGAGCAATCAAAAGCTTCATCCCCTCAAAATCTCAATCTCCTTTTTATACATTTAATTTAATAAAAAAAGATCTATTAGGGGCCATTCATTTGTAATATGAATTTTGTATAGTTTGCTGAATTCTTTACATATCTTTATAAATTCAGTATGATCCATAATGTTAATCTTGTGAATGCTATGTTGAATGTGTATTAAATATAACTAGAATTTAAATCTGAAAAATACTCTTGATAACCTTTTTAAATAGTTAAATTATGATTTTGAAATTAAATTCTTCTGCAAAATTAAGTAAAGTAATTTTTAATTTAATAAATGGAATAAGTCACTCAATATTGAATATATTTAAAATTGTGCTTAAATTGTTTTCAAGAAAAGAGTTCTTTTTCACGAGCTTAGTTATTTGATCAATATATGAAGCACTTTCAAGCAATTGGAAGGAAAAGGTTCTATTAATCCGCATATCCCAATATTTTTTAAGAAGTGCACACATAGACAAGAACGTAGGAAGAAAAAAAAGAAGAGTAGTAAGAGAAGACTATGGGAATACTAGAAAGATTGTATAAGAAGAATCTTGAAGAAAATATGGTTCTTGTGCAGCCCGAATAACAATATTTTTTCAACATCAAAAAATTTTAAATTTTGTTTTTAAATGTTTAGGTGATGTAAACAAATATTTGAATCAAATATTTGTTTCTGAAAGAACTCAAAACTTTACATTCGTTTTATTTTAAAATCAGCTTTCATGGACTAAACAATTAATGGTCTTCAATTGTGCTTGAGAACTAATTTTTAAATTGCTAGTCTTTATTCATTTTTTTCTTCAATCGTATTATAACCTGCGGTTCTTAATACGTGAACCTTACTATTTAGACAAATATTTTTAATTAAAAAAAAAACTTTATTATTCCTAAACCATCTAACAAAAAAAAAAAAAAAAACAGTTGTGTTCTAGTAAAAGGACTGTCCACAAATGATGTCCACTTTCTAGGGGTTTGGTCTCCAGTAGAGGCTTGAGTCACAATCGATGGGTACAAAAGATGAGTTCGGGCTCACTTTTGGAAATCCCGAGCCCGAAGAATTTTACTCTGATCTAACAAGAGCCAGAGATATACGTCGGATAATTCTGTTAGATCGTATTTCAACAAACAAGAACTTATATATGCTGGGGCGTGGTTGCCACTTCACATGGAGAATAGGAAAAACTAATATTGGAAAATACAGTGAATTAAAAAATCACCAGGGAATTCTCTGCATTTTCCCCTGGAAAATGCAGGAAATTTGTTTCTTATCGTCTTTTAAAAAATGTTAACCACTCAAAGTGTTATCTATGGGATAGTTAAAGATATTTCAGCTATACTAAACTATTCCATTAATTACAGCATTATTTAAGTATGTTCGGCTGTTTCTTTTTTTTCTCTAAGTTTTTACAGCAATTAAAACTAGTATAGTTAGCCAGGGGTCTGTTTAGAAGAAATTTGAGTACGTTAACGGACCCTTCACAAAAAAATTTATCTTTTAATCGGACCCTTCACAAATTTGTTTATCTTCATTATTGTTTTATGAATCGAATAAACCCTTCCCAGGGGGGGGGGGGGGGAAGACATGTAAACGAACTAAGTTTTGTCTTCCGCAGACGCTTCTTCCTTTATTCTTCCGAAATGAATTTTCTGCGTTCAGCAGTACGGGTGGGCTGAATACTAAATATTTGTATGTTGCTTCTCTAATTTAGCAGCAGCAATATTGTTTATCTTTTAAAATTTAATTTTTTTTAAAATTAAATTTTACAGTGTTGAGCATAATCTTGTATCTTTTTACAATTTAAAAACTCCTTGAAAAAGGTTTTTGCAATAACAAAAACCAGCTTTCTTTCAACCTTTTGCGAATTGTGACAGCACAAATTCGCAAAAGGTTGAAAGAATGTGACATAACGTTTATTTTATATTCACAAATTACGAGTCATTTTTTCACAATTTTACAAAAACGGACCCTTCGCAAAATGTCTGGACAGACCCCTGTTAGCCCTATGTAGCTCACACAAGAGCACAGTAATTTTGTTTCATCTTAATATATTGTGCATAATATGTGCAGGGGATTGAGTGGCAACCGGAAAGGGGTCTCGCTAAAGATCGAAAACCCCTGAACGGTGCTCAATTCACATCATTCACGATATATTGATGATTACTTTTTACTACCTGACTAAATATATTCTCTCATTGCATCATTAGAACGCCGTGAACTGACTACACTTACTATATCTGCATGTCGCTCACGTCGACCCTTCGGAGCATTTGGTATCATTCTGGTACCGACGAAAACTCCAAAATGACAGTCAATCTTAAGCCTCTCAAAACAAAAGCGCCTAATAGCAGATCCTTACTTTTTATACCTTCTAAATTTGACATTTTATATACCTATATACTGAACATAAAGTTTGTGAAAACTTTATCGTGTGTCCGAGCCTGAAACCTTTTTTTACTAAACGAGCCCATCTCATCCCTAATGGGTGCCAGCTTGTCTGGGAAGTAAAGGCTGCCCAATGTGAAGCCCCCTTGACTGGTTGCTGAGGGAATGCTTCCAATTTTTAGATGACAGAATTTAATACTATGTACTTGCCGAGTAACGTTTTTAAAAAGTACTTAAAGGTGTTTTTATTTTATTTGGGTGTTTTTAAAGAGTGCTCAATTTTTCCCATTTCGAAAATTAGATTTTTTCTTTCTTTACCATGTCGATTTTTGTCGCGTCTTATGCTAAAGCGTGCTTTTCGCATTGTTCTATTCAACGTTTTTACAATTCATTTAACCATCTACTTCGGCGTAACGTCGGTCCATAGCGTCGTATGAAAGCGCCAATCATTTTACATGTTTGATGAAATACATGCCAGTCCGTATGTGCGTACATGCTAAGCTGGGTTCTGTGAGATTATTGCACTCTCATGTGCAACTCTGCTGCATTTTTCAGACTTCATTTTCCACCCTCTGATATCAAACCGAAAAATCTCTGGATCATTTTATAGTGGCTAATATAATCAAGACGAGTTCTTTGTCAGAAACTACTTATTTTATCATGATTATGTAAAGTCTTTGAGAATTATTTTGCATTTTGTTAATGTATATAGTGCTTAAAAAGTACTTTAAAGGTGCTTATTTTTTGTTGAAAGATTTGGCTACTTCTTAAGACGTCTAGTAAGAGTGCACTTCTTTTATTGTTTCAGTTGGCACCATGAAATCTAGCCACCATTTCAGGGACCAGCTGACCGTGATCACTGGCTGGTTCGATCAGTGGAACAGTTGTGAGCAGACTGTGGCCCTCTATTCTCTCATCCAAAAAATTGGTCCAATTCACGCTCGCTTCCTCGCCCTCGTATTAGAACAGAATATCGCTGAATGTATGGAACTCCAACTACAGGAACAGGAAGCTAACGATCCAGGTGAGTCACTAGATTTTTGCTTACAACTTGTGGTGTAACTTACCACTACGTATAAATATTAAATGCCAATTCTCTAGTATATAAGACATGTTCTGTCAAGAGGTACCTTTTGAGATATGAAGGTTGACATTGTCGAAAATTAAATCCCCTATTCCTCAAACTCATAAAATGAATAGACTTTTAACTGAATAATTTTAATTGAATTAACTTCTTGTTTTTTTTTTTTTTTAATTACATTTAAAAAATTATTTAGAATTTTTGCATAATGTAAGATTTTTTTAAAAGTATTTTTCTTCATTTTATTTTAGAAAGGGAACAAAAACCTTTTAGATAAGTCATAAGTCATAAAACTCTCCAAAAGGTTACTTAAAACGAATTTCTTTTTCTTACAATTTTTCATTGCAATTAACTCAGATCAATATGGTCTGATTGTAGAGACACGGTTCTCGGTAGGAAGTCAAGGATCACTGGCTGTGGTCTGTAAGCGGCTGGGTGACCGCTTTGATCAGCCTGCGTAGGGACCGAGGGTGCGCGGTATCGGTCCTAGTTAAATTGTTCTACCGTAAAGTGCTAGACTTCGCGCGTGTCGTCGAGCTACCAAAGCAGGGGATCCATCCCCTCTACAGAGGTCTAAAATTACGATGGCATGTCTTCGGATCCACCTCAGGGATTTTTCCTGACCGTCGCCAATAGCCCATTGTGCAAATCTAGTGCGACGTAAATGAACTACAACAATGTAATTTTTTAAAACTATTTAGTTACATGAATTAAAACATCAATGATGTTAATATTTGCTTAACATACCTTCCTGATCTATATTGGTAAATTAAATTATATTTTTACGTAGACCGTTATATTGTAAAAGCGTATAAATTGGAGGAAAAAAAACTAATATTTTTACTGATAAAATTGTACCAAATTGTAATTATACATTATATTGGACAATGGGTCACCTAAAATATATCCTTTAAAAAAAAAATTGTTAGTGTTGGAAAATTATGAGTAAATTGTAAAACTAACCAGCGTTCGATGGAATGATTTTGTAACTTATGACAGTCCTATTTCTATTGACCTGTTATTTTTCGTTACCGTGAAACATGTAAAAGTTTATTGTGTCATATTGCTTTTGCGGGACCTTCACGATTTTTTAATATAGAGATTGTATTTATTGTATTACATATAGAAAAATTTAAAACTTTTTTTTTTTTTACACTACTTCAAATTACTTAGTGTAAAAATAAGATAACCTGAACAGGGTGGCCAAAGAACATGGAAATTAGGAAACAATGTGGGAAAGTTAAGGAATTTTATTAATCTGTTATAAATCGGGAAATTTTATCAATCTTAAATCAGAGAATTTAAATAACAGTCATATAAAATTAATTAATTTAAGATCAGTGAATGAGTAATAGATGTTTGTTATTCTAAAATCATTCTGTTGTTAAATTTTCTATACAAGTAACAAGTGTTGGAAAGTATCACTTTGTATTCTCCCTTGTTTTAAAAATCATTATACAAAGATAAATTTTTAACTTTTTTCATTTGCCTGAGATAACTGGGGATAGAAGACTGATGGTAAATTAAATGTTTTTTACACACAAAAAAGAAAAAAAATTTGAAATTTTAACTTAAAACGTTTACGTTTTGTTTCAGTTCCTTGTATTTATTCATAAATTAAAAAAAATTTAATTTTTTTTTTTGCACTTTTTTTTTTCAAAAAATAATGGCAAGGGAAACAGTTGTTAAAATTATGATAATGTTTAAAAAAAATAAATTAAAAAATGTGTTTTTACAATAAAAAAAATTTTGTACTTCCTTTACTTCTATTTTTATGAATCTAGTTCTGAGTATAATTCCCCGTTAAGTGACTTCATTTCCGCGAATATCTTGAGATTTGTTAAATAATTTGTATACGCTTCAGAAGAAGAAAAAAAAAATGTTCGATCCACGACAGCAACGTATACATTTCCTTTAATTTCAAAATAACCACACACACAAAAAAAAAGCTTAAAAGTTTTAAAATAACGGCTAATTTTATCAAACAATTAGCTCTTTTTTCCGCTTTTTTTTCGGGCAATTAATTCGCATAGCGATTTCCTTTCCGTTGTTGTGGGGTAACCCTTTAGCGAAAGCACCGCTGTCCCGAGAAAGTGTGTCGCCGGTTCGTTGGCCCTTTCTTCCACTCTCTCGTTCCACTTGTTGGCCGCTGAATCGATCGGCCACGGAGTTATGAGGGCACGAAAAGAAAGTCTCTTATCTAGAGGTGATTGGCACACTTTAAAAGCTACCTCATTACACTATTAGAAAGAGAAAGGTATGCCACTTTATCGATCCCCCCCCCTCCTTCCTCTAAATATAACTCTTTTTCATTTAATTCCCATAAATCCATTTTTTCAATATCCTACTTAAACAAAGTATTTCTTTCAAGTTTTTGTAAAAGTGTCTTTTTTTTTTTTTACGCCTTTTTTCAATTCCTATTAATTCACGCTCTCACTCTTGTTCAAAGTTTCAGTTAGAAGTAATTTACAATACTATAATGCCGAGTAATTTCCAGTAATCATTAAATAATCGTTAATATAACAGTTACATGAAGCACATTTAAATTGAAGATATAAGAAGAAATTAGCTGTTTATTAAGCATCTTTCTATTAAAAATCGTTTTCTTTTTTAAGAATTGGTTGAAAAAATTATTATTCTATGCTTCCTGCTGATCATAACAATAAAAAACAGTGTTCATGATAATGAAAACTTAGTTGTGTAACCTGCTAGTCGTATTTAATTTATGAAGACAATTAGAGACACTGTCAACTGGGTTTATTTTCCCTTTTAAACTTCTAGTAGAAATTTCGTGTACTTCTTTACAATTCAGGGCTGATTGTGCTCCGGAAAAAATCCGGATTTCCGGATTTTTCGCTAACAGTGATCCTGAAGTTTCCGGAGATTGAAGGTCCAGACGTTTAAAAAAGTTATTGATCACAGAAGTTTCCGGAAATCAAATTTTCAAAGGTGGAACTTAAAAACACTGTTTATTTTATTTGTTTGTAAGGGAGAGCCAGAGAGATACTTTATAAGCTTATAATCATGATTAATATTGATTTTCTATCAGTAAGTAGTGGTTACAATCAGTGGTAGTAAATAAACTCAGGAAAAAAAGATATATTTGTAAATTTTAATTACTTCTCCAGGTCATCATAGGTATGTGTAAATGGTATAGGTATGTGTAAAATTGTAAATATATTTTAAGTAAACTAAGAAATATTGAAAAAAAAGAAAAATAAACTTATTTAAAAAAAAAAAAATTTTAACTCAAGAAATTTTCCGGAATTTTGGCTTGGGCTCACAATCACCCCTATTACAATTGAAAGCGCGGAAAATAATTTCAAGACTTATATTGCTGGACGAAAAAATTTATGTATGGTGTTTAAATATGCTTTTTTCAATTCCTACTATTAGTTCACGCTCTCCCTCTGTCTTGTTCAAATTTTCAATCGTTCATAAAATACTTTTTATTCATCAACTTAAGTTCAAATGCTTGTTTTTGAATTTGTAGTGGATGGCACTTGATGTTAATACAGTTTTTTCAAATATTAATTCATTCATTAAATAGAGGGAGGAGTGAGAAACGAAATGGAATTTTCTGATGGGTTAAATGTTAGTCATTGTTTTCAGTTTTACCATAAGCCATTCACTTTTTCACATATTTTAAAAATAACACCAGTGATCATTTCTAACTTATAGCTCTGTTTGAACAAAAAAAAGTGATCCACGTCACAAAATTTATACTTTTATAGTTGTCTGATACCTCGAAGCCTGTATAATATCTTGTTCCTGTATATATATATCTTGTTCAAATTTTCAACCTTTAATAAAAAAACTTTTTATTCATACATTAAAGCTCAAATACATTTTTTTAAACTTGTAGTGGATGTCACTTGATGTCAATGCAGTTTTTTCAAATACTAGTGGGCTGCGCCCCCTTCTCGCTAACGCTCGCCAACCCCCGAAAATTGCTACGCAATCTTATATGGTTTGCTTCGCAAACTAAGCTCGCTTCGCTCGCTACTAACTTAGGTACATTACAAATGTACAAAATTCTAAGAATTCAGAACAATTATTCAAATCCATATAACAACTTTTTTTTAAAAAAAAAACATTACATCTTTTCAGTGAATACTACGTCATTAAAATAAATTTGAATTCAAATAAATGACGTGTAATTCGTTAAACCTATTAGAAATGTGCTATAGTATAAAATCTTAAGATAAAATTTCTAAAACTGATATCTCTTTAAAAAGGTTAAAATTTTGGCTATAATTAAGTCTATTAAAAATTGAAATAAGTGAATTGCAGTGGAAAAACCAGCATAAACAAATAAATTCTAGTAAAACGAATAAATTCGACTACTCTTTTCTGCCTAGCTTATGCTCTCTCTAGTTATTTCAGTTTCCGTTTTTAAAAGCGCTATATGTTGAGCCATCTGAGCTAGATTTGGCATGTGACATTTTTAGCGGCAATGATTGGTCAATTTTCTAGTGTTGCCATTCGGGGAGTTGTAATGAGGCCTTTTTTTATCGCCGTGTAAGAGAAATATATATATAGATTGCTTTAATTTAGGAATTGACTGATTTTTTTACATATATATTTGTTGTTTTTCTTCCGATGGCTGAATTACAGAGAAGCTCTGCTTTTATATTCAGTTGTCATTGGGGGGGGAAATTAATTTTCTTCAGAATTTTTCACTGTTAGCACTTAGTTACTGCTGTAGAGTAGAGCCCCCTGAATTAGACATAGTATAGGAGCCTTACTGTAGAGTAAATAAAGAGATCACGTGGGGAAAAACCTTTCATGGTTAATTCTCTTTCGGCTTCATAAATACTCAAAAGTATAGAACAAAATAAGCTTATGTAAGGCATGAAATTTTAAATTCTGCAAATGATTTTTCAAAATGTCATTGCATGCAAATTATGGCAGGAATACAGAGTAGGGAAATAAATCTGCCG